TTATTGTTGTAGTTTTAGCGTCTTACAGCTTATTGATGTAGTTTTAGTGTCTTACAGCTTATTGATGTAGTTTTAGCGTCTTACAGCTTATTGATGTAGTTTTAGCGTCTTACAGCTTATTGTTGTAGTTTTAGCGTCTTACAGCTTATTGTTGTAGTTTTAGCGTCTTACAGCTTATTGTTGTAGTTTTAGTGTCTTACAGCTTATTGATGTAGTTTTAGTATCTTACAGCTTATTGATGTAGTTTTAATGTCTTATAGCTTATTGATGTAGTTTTAGTGTCTTACAGCTTATTGATGTAGTTTTAATGTCTTATAGCTTATTGATGTAGTTTTAATGTCTTATAGCTTATTGATGTAGTTTTAGTGTCTTACAGCTTATTGATGTAGTTTTAGTGTCTTACAGCTTATTGATGTAGTTTTAGTGTCTTACAGCTTATTGTTGTAGTTTTAGTGTCTTACAGCTTATTGATGTAGTTTTAGTGTCTTACAGCTTATTGATGTAGTTTTAGTGTCTTACAGCTTATTGTTGTAGTTTTAGCGTCTTACAGCTTATTGTTGTAGTTTTAGTGTCTTACAGCTTATTGTTGTAGTTTTAGCGTCTTACAGCTTATTGTTGTAGTCTTAGTGTCTTACAGCTTATTGATGTAGTTTTAGTGTCTTACAGCTTATTGTTGTAGTTTTAGTGTCTTACAGCTTATTGATGTAGTTTTAGTGTCTTACAGCTTATTGATGTAGTTTTAGTGTCTTACAGCTTATTGTTGTAGTTTTAGCGTCTTACAGCTTATTGTTGTAGTTTTAGTGTCTTACAGCTTATTGTTGTAGTTTTAGCGTCTTACAGCTTATTGTTGTAGTCTTAGTGTCTTACAGCTTATTGATGTAGTTTTAGCGTCTTACAGCTTATTGTTGTAGTTTTAGCGTCTTACAGCTTATTGATGTAGTTTTAGCGTCTTACAGCTTATTGTTGTAGTTTTAGCGTCTTACAGCTTATTGATGTAGTTTTAGCGTCTTACAGCTTATTGTTGTAGTTTTAGTGTCTTACAGCTTATTGATGTAGTTTTAGCGTCTTACAGCTTATTGATGTAGTTTTAGTGTCTTACAGCTTATTGTTGTAGTTTTAGTGTCTTACAGCTTATTGATGTAGTTTTAGTGTCTTACAGCTTATTGTTGTAGTTTTAGTGTCTTACAGCGTATTGTTGTAGTTTTAGTGTCTTACAGCGTATTGTTGTAGTTTTAGTGTCTTACAGCTTATTGATGTAGTTTTAGTGTCTTACAGCGTATTGTTGTAGTTTTAGTGTCTTACAGCGTATTGTTGTAGTTTTAGTGTCTTACAGCTTATTGATGTAGTTTTAGTGTCTTACAGCGTATTGTTGTAGTTTTAGTGTCTTACAGCGTATTGTTGTAGTTTTAGTGTCTTACAGCTTATTCATGTAGTTTTAGTGTCTTACAGCGTATTGTTGTAGTTTTAGTGTCTTACAGCTTATTGATGTAGTTTTAGTGTCTTACAGCTTATTGATGTAGTTTTAGTGTCTTACAGCGTATTGTTGTAGTTTTAGTGTCTTACAGCGTATTGTTGTAGTTTTAGTGTCTTACAGCTTATTGATGTAGTTTTAGTGTCTTGCAACTTATTGTTGTAGTTTTAGTGTCTTACAGCTTATTGATGTAGTTTTAGTGTCTTGCAACTTATTGTTGTAGTTTTAGTGTCTTACAGCTTATTGTTGTAGTTTTAGTGTCTTACAGCGTATTGTTGTAGTTTTAGTGTCTTACAGCTTATTGTTGTAGTTTTAGTGTCTTACAGCTTATTGTTGTAGTTTTAGTGTTTTACAGCTTATAGTTGTAGTTTTAGTGTCTTACAGCGTATTGTTGTAGTTTTAGTGTCTTACAGCTTATTGTTGTAGTTTTAGTGTCTTACAGCGTATTGTTGTAGTTTTAGTGTCTTACAGCGTATTGTTGTAGTTTTAGTGTCTTACAGCTTATTGATGTAGTTTTAGTGTCTTGCAACTTATTGTTGTAGTTTTAGTGTCTTACAGCTTATTGATGTAGTTTTAGTGTCTTGCAACTTATTGTTGTAGTTTTAGTGTCTTACAGCTTATTGTTGTAGTTTTAGTGTCTTACAGCTTATTGATGTAGTTTTAGTGTCTTACAGCGTATTGTTGTAGTTTTAGTGTCTTGCAACTTATTGTTGTAGTTTTAGTGTCTTACAGCTTATTGTTGTAGTTTTAGTGTCTTACAGCGTATTGTTGTAGTTTTAGTGTCTTACAGCTTATTGATGTAGTTTTAGTGTCTTACAGCTTATTGTTGTAGCTTTAGTGTTTTACAGCTTATAGTTGTAATCGTTTTTTGCACATTTTCTACTTTTCCTGCAGTTTTTGTTTTTATTTTTTATTCTTTGCACTTCCTTGCGCAGACTTTAATGGTACTGGTTAATTAGTTAATTTAACTTGCAGAGCTAAAACTCAGTTTTACTTACCTTAAATGAAAACTTCAGTTTTCTTATACTTTCATTATTTTTTAATTCCTTTTTTTTTTATTTAACTTTCCTTTAAATTTGATTCTTACTGTTTTATTTGCTTTTGTCTTACACCTGAGAGATTTTAACTAAACTTTAAAGACCTTAAACTCGTTCCCGTTCCAAACAAAGCTCTAAAATCCAACTTTAAACACGACTTGGGTGAAGTTTGATTCACAAACTGAAATCTTGTTTGACGACCTCTCTACTTTTTTCTCACCACGCGCGCCGATCGGTGCTGAGGAGATGACCGGCTCTGACTCATGACTTCATCTGACCTTAAAGGTCACGGTGTCTTCTCATCAATCACTCCCTTCCACCGACACACAGATACAAACACGCTATCTCTCACATGCATGCTTCATTAATTAAACCTGCAGCACTTTCACTCACCTCACTCTGAGAGTCGGTGGGTGAGCAGAGAAAAAACCTCATTAAACATCTCCATTTATCTTCCACTCACCCCCGACTTGTGTGTGTGTGTGTGTGTGTGTGTGTGTGTGTGTGTGTGTGTGTGTGTGTGTGTGTGTGTGTGTGTGTTTCTTCGGATTCTTTTGCCTCCTTGAAGTCCAGCACTGAAGTGACAAGCAATGAGGTCAATTTGTATTCAACTGGAAAACCTAAAGTCTGGAAATCCCCAACAGAATTCCCCGATTTCCGTACAAACCTCATTTCTCCTCCTAATGATTCGTTTTTCTTTCTCCTGCCATCGTTAGAAATCATTTTTATTCTCACTTACCAGGTTTAGGCCAGAGATGCAACTAAAACCTGTTGTAAAAATTCACTTTGTGTGCTGATTTTTAAATCTGCGGCTCTAAAGCTGCACAGAAACATCATTAAACTCGATCATGACGAATAAAAATCCCTCTCCAAACCAGAGGAGTGGTGGAAGCGGTGGATCTGAACGTGACCCCGCAGCTCTACTGTGCGACTCCAGTTCTGCTGTTGGTTTGTTTGCTCATCCAACCACAGCAGGCGGCAGATAAAGCGGGTCAGAGGTCAGCTCGGCTCTTTGATAAAAATGTTATTCCTGAATTATCTGCTTGAGAAGCATGTTATTACTAATTAATCTGCTGGATAATCGCTAACGGTTTAATTATCCTGCCTGGAAAGAAGCACTTTAACTTCTAAAGTGACTCATGCAGGAGATATTTTTCCGGACTGAAGTTTCTGGAGACGAACCAGAGATTAATAGTCGAGGTGACGAATTAGGACTCGCTCGGCCGAGAATACACACACACACACACACACACACACACACACACACACACACACACACACACACACACACACACACACACACGAGTTTTGTTTGGTGATAAGTGGACAGAAAAACACCAGACTTCTCTGTTCTCCTCTTTTATGTTTTTCTTGTTTTAAAACATTTTCTCTGCAGATTTTCTGTTGGGGACCAACTTTACCTTCAGTCTGATTAAAACTAGAGATAAACGTAGATCCACTCAGGATCCACTGATTTCCCTCTTTCCTGTTCACTCTCTCTCTTTCTTTACATTTTTAATCACAATTGTCTATTTTTGCTCATTTTAAATATATTTTTAAACATTTTCTAAATGCTTTTTTATATTTTTACATTTTTTTTTTGTTTTTGTGAAGCGCCTCGTGATTTTTATCTTGAGAGGCGCTACAGAAATGATTCTTTCTTCTTCTTCTACATTTTAATTATGACACATCTAATTAAATAATCCTTCAAACACTTGGCAGAGATTTTACTAACCTTATCTCAGTGATGCATGAACCAAAAATTCTGTGAAATGATTTTTAAATAAAAGTTAAAAAAATTAACATTAATTTATCCTTTTGACGTTATCGCTTTATTACAACCCTTTATGCAACCAAATTAATTTTACAAAATGCAAAAGGTAGGTTTTTTTTACTTTTTCAAAATTTGGTCGACATTAAAAGGTCAAATATTAGATGAATAAATAATCCCTAAATATTATTTCTATGGAGGAAAACAATGATTTGGTCTTTTAACCCTTTGGAGGAACAACTTGCTGCATTTCTTTGCATTTTCAGTTAATTTGAGACAATATTAAAATAAGTAAATAATACTATAAAATATTAATAATTGTAATTATTATTTGAAAGAATTATCGCTTTACTGACAGACTCATGGGTATAGTAATGTGGGACAACAAGCGCTTCTTGACTAACTCTAGACGATGCTCTGGTCTACATCACTGTCCTGGAGCCAAAAAAAAACATAAAGAAACCAGCTTTCATCAGAATTCTGTTTTTATGATTATTCTGTTGATCTATTTCAGCTTTAATAAAACTTTTTTCACACTCCTAAGCAACATTTGATCTCATTTAAACCCGGCGAGGACACGGCTGAGTCTGCAGGCCAAAAGGTGAACCCTGACCCTACAGAACTACGGATTTAACATCATTTCATTAAAGGTTCTGGGACCTAAACCTGGGATCTACCCTAAACTCCCACTGCCGTCCTGCTTCTGAATACCTGGACCTACCTGTCTGGTTCCGGGCCACCGGCTGCGTGTCCATGCAGCTGCCCAGGTACGACGGGTTGCTGAACATCCTGCTGGGGGGCTGGTGGTGGTGGGGAGCAGCCACTGATGGAGGCTGGCTGGAAGCTGTGGGTGTAGGAGGGGGTGCCCCAAACGCTGCCCCGTACCTGCAGGCACCGGTGCCGGTGAACTGCCCCGAGAAGTGCACGGTGAAGGCGCTGAGGCCACAGTGAGGGTCTGTGTCGTGGAGGTGGGGGTCTCCTGTGCTTCCCCAGCTGGGCTCCTGTTTGATGAAGGAGTGAGGCCCCAGGGAGGTGTGGGGAGCAGCCAGCGAGGAGTAAGGAGAGGCGGAGGGGTGGAAGTCCAGGACGGGAGTCCACTGAGGGGCCGTGGTGACGGGCAGTGCCGGGCAGCCGGGACTGGGGCCTGCTGGGAGCGGGGGCAGCAGGGAGTTCAGGTCACGTACCTCTGAACTCATGGTGGTCCAGGGAGAGAACCCTTCCACGCTCCTGCCTGAGTGAGCCACTGCACCTTCTGAGTCCTTCACAAACTCAAAGTCTCCCTCACAGACCAAAGTTCTTCTCCGATCAGCTGTTCACCACAGCAAACAGCAGCTGGTCCAGCAAAAGGTCATGGCAAACTGACTGGAGATCAGTTTTCTCATCAGCAACAGAAGGTCAGATGTGGTCTCCAGCTCCCATCCGCAGCAGCAGAAGCAGCAAAAAGTCAGCTCTGGCTCCAAAAGTCCATTCAGGGAGGAGGAGATGGTCCGCTCCGAGCTTCCTCTGTGAATGGATGAAGAGGAGTGGAGGAGGGAGGAGGAGATGGTCCGCTCCGAGCTTCCTGAATGGATGAAGAGGAGTGGAGGAGGGAGGAGGAGTAGCCCTCTTTCCCTCCACTCCGCGCTGGGTGTGTGTGAGGAGGAGGAGGAGGAGTTAGGAGGTGATGGGGGGACAAAAACCTCTGTCTTCATTCAGTGAACACACACACACACACACACACACACACACACACACACACACAAACACACACACTATAATAGTAATAATAATATTCCTATTTTGTGTAAACATTTTGTAATAAGGAAAATCTCTTTGACGTTTTAAAGTATAAAACACGAAGTTTTGATTTCTTTTCATTTTTGCAGGATAAAGTTTTTAGTTTAATGTTCAGATTTTTATTCTAATTTTTCAGTCGTATAAAATCTAAATATTTTAAAACTTTCTTCAGACATTTTATTTAATATATTACTACCAGCATTATTTCTGAATTTCCTAATAATTAGATTTTAAACGCGCCTGTTATTGTTCTGTAATTCTTCCGTTAAAACCGGAATTAACCGTCTCATTAAAGCGCCGGAAGACGCACGCGCCCGACCGGCCGCGGCGCAGTAAATCTTCTGCTCCGACTTCAAACCTCCTCGTGTCCGTTTTGTTGTGTCGCAGTTTAATAGAATAAAGGTTTTAAATTCCTCCGTAAATTTGTCTTCATTTATAGAACAATTAAAACATTAACTAAGTCATAATTGAACAACAAAATGCGATTTCAAGGCCGAAAATGTCAAATTTCTCTTGAAAGTGAAGATTTTTTAGTTTCTTATAAACTGGAGCGGGCCTGTGGTTAAACACACTAACATTTCTTACATTTTCGGAAATTCAAGGCCTTCTTTTGAGCTTACTGCATTAAAAAATCCCACTTTAGTTGTTAAAAATAATAGATTTTTGTTTTTAATGCAGGCAGCATTTGCCCGCTTTAGTTTAAACACTGAAACGAAACACTGATTTTTATTTAATCAAACGGAAATCGTACATTTTTAGATCCTTAATTAAAAAAATCATAACCGGTTATTTCAACAGAAATATTTTTAGATAAACGACTAATGCTTTTAAATGAGCTCCATGTCGATTAAAGTCTAATTTTTATTCATTCTTCCTGAACTGTGAAGCTTCAGAGTCCGTCCGCAACCGAACCCGCAACTCCGGGTTCTGACCCAGCAGCGCGTGGGAGGAGGAGAGACAGCCGTGATGACGCGTTTTGGCTCTGCAACGGAAACACATGAGAATGTTATTATTCTAGAAGTCTAACCTGATTCATGCTTTCGGTTTTATCTTTACTTTAACTCATATTTAGTAAAACAATAAAAATAATTTAAAAAGTACAGTTTGAACCTTTTTACTCAGAAGAAGAAGAAAATATCATTTCTATAGCGCCTCTCAAGATAAAAATCACGAGGCACTTCACAAAAACAAAAAATATATAAAAAAATAATTTAGAAAATGTTTAAAAGTATATTTAAAATGAGCAAAAATAGACAATTGTGATTAAAAATGTTAAGAAAGAGAGAGAGTGAACAGGAAAGAGGGAAATCAGTGGATCCTGAGGAAGGTGGAATAGGTGGGGAGAGCAGAATAAAGAGAGAGAGGTGAAGAAGGTCATACAAAAGCCAGCTTGAACAAGTGAGTCTTCAGCTGCTTTTTAAAGGAGACCACTGAGTCCACTGATCTCAGGCTCAGGGGGAGAGAGGTCCAGAGTCTGGGGGCCACAGCAGCAGATGATCTGTCACCTTTGACCTTTAGCCTGGTGCTGCACAACCAGTAGGCTTTGATCACTGGACCTCAGGGACCTGCTGGGGGTGTAGGGACTAAGAAGATCACCAATGTAAGATGGTGCTTGTCCATGTAAGGCCCTATAGACCAGAACCAGGATCTTGAAATGAACCCTGAAGTTGACTGGCAGCCAGTGAAGCTGGAGGAGAAGCGGGGTGATGTGGGTGTGTTTGGAGGACTTGGTCAGAAGCCGAGCACAGGCGTTCTGAACCACCTGTAGACGGTTCAGGGAGGTTCTGCTCAGACACGTGAAAAGAGAGTTACAGTAGTCTAAGCGTGAGGAGATGAAGGTGTGGAGAACTGTCTCAAGTTCAGAGCGGGACAGAATGGGACTCAGCTTAGCAACGTTCCTGAGATGGAAGAAGGAAGAGCGAACAAGAGAACCGACATGAGAATCCAGGGTGAGAGCTGGGTCAAAGGTCACACCAAGATTCCTGACAAAAGGTTTGGTGTGAGAAGCAAGCTGACCAAGAGAGTCTCTGACTTTGGGAACCAGCTTGTCTGGGGCACAGATGAGGATCTCAGTCTTATCTTCATTCAGCTGAAGAAAGCTCCCACCATCCAGGTTCTGATAGAGTCTAAGCAGGTGTGCAACAGATGCAGCTTAGACATCTCATGGGGCTTAAAAGAGATGTACAGTTGGATGTCATCTGCATAAAGATGGTAGGAGATTCCTTTGAAGGAGCTCAGGATGTGCTGAAGAGGAAGCAAAGAAATAAAGTTTGTGGGCGTGGTTATAAATATTCTAACTATAGATGACAGATGAAGGAAGCAGGTTTTTTTCTGCTCGTCGCATAAAACATATCAGAGTTAACTTCACAAACATTTAGAAAACTCTTAGAAATCAATAAAAAAGGACTAATTAAGCTCGTTAAACTCCATGACTTGAAGCTCATCATTTTGTTTTTGCAGCATAAGAACAAAGATATTTTAACTCATTGCTTGTCAAACAAGAAATGATCACAGTTTAATGTAATCTCTGTTGGATTAGGGGACAAATAAGAGCTGAAGAGGTTGGACGTCAGTAAGCTATCTTTCTCAGGGGATGGATGAAACCTGCAGCCTCTCAAGGTCGAGTCCTTCTGCTCATCAGTTTGACTTTTGACCTCTGCTCCTAAACTCTGAATTTGAAAGAAAACTGAGGTTTTCACATCAGAGACACAAAATTGAAGCAACTTTCAGATAACGTTAGAAAGTCTTTAACTCGCACAGTTCTCCAAGTTATCGGTGTGTGTGTGTGTGTGTGTGTGTGTGTGTGTGTGTGTGTGTGTGTGTGTGTGTGTGTGTGTGTGTGTGTGTGTGTGTGTGTGTGTGTGTGTGTGTGTGTGTGTGTGTGTCGTCCTTGAGCGGTGCCGCAGCTCCTGATCTAAGACTGTAGGCATGTTTAAGGTTATCCTCCTTCTGACTCGAGCTCCCGTTGTTCCCAGCTGTCCTGTTGTCATGACAACGTGCGTGCACACACACACACACACACACACACACACACACACACACACACACACTCACTCACTCACTCACACACTCACTCACTCACTCACACACTCTCACTCACTCACTCACACACTCACTCACTCACTCACACACTCACACACTCACTCACTCACTCACACGCACTCACACACACACACTCACTCACTCACTCGCTCACTCGCTCACTCACTCACTCACTCACTCACTCGCTCGCTCACTCACTCACTCACTCACTCACTCACTCACTCACTCACACACACTCACACACTCACACACTCTCACTCACTCACTCACTCACTCTCTCACTCACACACTCTCACTCACTCACACACTCTCACTCACTCACTCACTCACTCACTCACACACACACACACACACACACTCACACACACACACACTCACACACTCACACTCACTCACTCACTCACTCACTCACACACACACTCACTCACTCACTCACTCACTCACTCACACACTCACTCACTCACTCACTCACTCACTCACTCACTCACTCACACCCACTCACTCACACGCACACACACTCACACTCAATCACTCACTCACTCACTCACTCACTCACTCACTCACACATTCACTCACTCACTCACACTCTCACACACTCACTCACTCACACCCACTCACTCACACGCACACACACTCACACACACACTCACTCACTCACTCACTCACTCGCTCGCTCACTCACTCACTCACTCACTCACTCACTCACTCACTCTCTCACTCACTCACTCACTCACTCACACACACTCACACACTCACACACTCTCACTCACTCACTCACTCACTCACTCACTCACTCACTCACTCTCTCACTCACTCACACACTCTCACTCACTCACACACTCTCACTCACTCACTCACTCACTCACTCACACCCACTCACTCACACACACACACACACACACACACACACACTCACACACACACTCACACTCACACTCACACTCACTCACTCACTCACTCACTCACTCACTCACACACACACTCACTCACTCACTCACTCACTCACTCACACACTCTCACTCACTCACTCACACACTCACACACTCACTCACACACTCACACACTCACTCACTCACTCGCTCACTCACTCACTCGCTCACTCACTCACTCACTCACTCACTCGCTCGCTCACTCACTCACTCACTCACTCACTCACTCACTCACACACTCTCACTCACTCACACACTCTCACTCACACTCACTCACTCACTCACTCACTCACTCACTCACTCACACACACACACACACACACACACACACACACACACACACACTCACTCACTCACACACTCACTCACTCACTCACTCACTCACACACTCTCACTCACTCACTCACACACTCACTCACTCACTCACACACTCACACACTCACTCACTCACTCACACGCACTCACACACACACACACTCACTCACTCACTCACTCGCTCACTCGCTCACTCACTCACTCACTCACTCACACACTCACACACTCACACACTCTCACTCACTCACTCACTCACTCACTCTCTCACTCACACACTCACACACTCACTCACTCACTCACACGCACTCACACACACACACACTCACTCACTCACTCACTCGCTCACTCGCTCACTCACTCACTCACTCACTCACTCACACACTCACACACTCACACACTCTCACTCACTCACTCACTCACTCACTCTCTCACTCACTCACACACTCTCACTCACTCACTCACACACTCACTC